ACGCGCACACGCACACGCACACGCACACACACACACACACGCCACACACACACACACACACACACGCCGCACACGACACACGCACACACACACCACACCACACGCACACGCACACACTCACACACACACGCACGCACGCACACACACACACGCGCACACGCACACGCACACGCACACGCACACGCACACACACACACACACACACACGCCTCCCACACACATCTACCATCCCCCCCACTAGCGTACCTTCGGTGTGCACGGCCGACACGTACGTCCAGTTGTAGTGCTTGATGATGTCGACCATGACCTGCGCCTGAAACTCGTCGCTCGGCACGACGCGCAGGAAGTACTTGAACACGTTCTTGTCGCTGAGCGTCTGCGCCGTCGCCGAGTATCCGATCTGCGGAATGCCGAACAGCTGCAGCAGATTCTGCACGGGTATCGTCACCGTGCTCGAGCCGGGTCCGACGACGCCGGCGATGTTCTTGCTCGTCGGCTTCGCGCACAGCGACGTCTCGTTGCGGCTCAGCTTCTTCTGGTCGTCGTCGCTAGTCGATATCGCGTCGCGTATGAACTCGATGCTCTGTTCGAGCGCCACGGAGGTGAACCAGCACGAGTCACGCACCTCTACGCCGAGCTTGATGCCCGGCAGGAACGTCGGGTCGGCGTTGATCTCGTTGATCGTCTTGAAGGTCGCCTCGACGCGCTGGATGCCGTACTCCTCCCAGATGGGGCCGCACGTACGCGTGTAGGCGTTCTTCTGCTTCGGCTGCTCGTGTATGGAGAAGAGCGCGCCGATGAGCACCTCTCCCGGGATGAGCGCCGTCTTGCGCTGGCTACTCATGCTGCCCGCCGCAGAGTCGGGTAGCGCCGCCAGCATCAACAGCAGCAACAGCAGCAGCGGCAGCGGCGTCGCCAACGCCAGCGTCGCCGCCGAGTGCATGTTGTTGTCGGGTGGCGGCCGGTGGTGCGGTGAGGGGGCCGCAGCGGCGTCGACGGCCGTCGGTTCGCGTCGATCTTTGAGGATCAATCGGCGGCAGCACGTGCGACGGACGCGGACGCACTGCTGAGTCGCTGCTGCCCTGCCGTCCGCCGCCTCCTGCGCTGCTGCTCCTGCTTCTGCTCGCGTGCGCAGCGGCGGCGGCGATGGCGGCGATTCGCCATATCGCGGCGGCGCAATCAACATGCAAATCACTTAATTAGCCGCGCTGCTCCGTCATCGGACGAGGCGAGCCGTTGCCGACGCTGACGCATTCACGCGATGTCCAGACGCCGTTGCGTCGGCCGTGCGTTCTCACGCTGACGCTCGCAGAGAGACGGACATCCACGCGCAAGCACGTTATTCGCGACGACGACGACGTTGATGATGATGATGATGATGATGATGATGATGAGAGCGCACGATGTAGCGCGCGCGCGTGTGTGTGTGTGTGTGTATATAGCGGGCGTATGTGCGGTGGCAATGCGCGCCGAGCGTGTGCGTGTGTGTGACGGGAGAGGCAGCAGCAGACGGGCTGTGATTGCTGATGGACGCTAACGCACGCGCGGTGACTCCTCGCGACTCGCATATGCGACTCGCATCAGCGGCGACGCATCGCCCACTTCTCCCGACCGCTGCGTCGGCGACGAATGACGTAGCGCGCGGGCGCGACGCATCAAGCGACGCAGCTATCGGAATGACGCGCAGTATTTACCTGTGAGCGCCGTTGCGTCTCGCACCGCGTCGTTGCGCTCACTGTTACTACACTGTGTCGGCGACACAGATGGCACAGAACACGCGCGCGTGACACACGTATCCTGGGATGATGCGCGCAGCAGCAGTCCCTGACATTCCGCTGTGCCGTCGTTGTTGTTGTTGTTGCTTGCAGCAGCGCCGGCGTTGGTGTCTTCGTGCGGGCAGGTGCGCGGCTACATAGTTACAGCACGTCGTGATCGCATCCCGTGTTCATATAGCAGTCCGCTGAGACAGCCCGACGCGTGTGCTGCCGCGTAACAACCCGCCTGCGTTCTCTCGCTCTCGCGCACTGTCTCTCTCTTTCTCTCTATCTCCTGCTGCCTCTCTTCCTGTCTCTCGCGCTCTCTCTCTCTCTCTCGCTCTCTCTCGCTCTCTCTTTCTCGCTCTCTCTCGCTCTCTCTCTCTCGCGCGCGCTCTCTCTCTCTCTTTCTCTCTCTCTCGTGCGCGCTCTCTTTCGTTCTCTCTATCTCATGCTGTCTCTTTTCCTGTCTCTCGCTCTCGCTCTCGCACTCTTTTTCTCGCTCTCTCTCGCTCTCTCTCTCGCGCTCTCTCTATCTCTCTCTTTCTCTCTCTCTCTCTCGCGCGCGCTTTCTTTCGTTCTCTCTATCTCTCGCTCTCGCGTGCGAGCGCTCTCTTTTTTTCTCTCTATCTCGCGCTGTCTGTCTTCTTGTCTCTCGCTCTCTCGCACTCTCTTTTTTGCTATTTCTCACTCTTTTTCGCTCTCTATCCTCTCTTTCTGTGGCTGTCTGCCTTTCTATCTTTCTCTCTTCCTCCCTCTTTCTCTGTCTCTAAATCTCACTCTATGTTTCTCGCACTATCACTTCCTCGCTCTCACGCGCACTCGCGCACGCACGATCATTTACATACGCACGCGCGCACAGCGACCACGAGTCTCGCAGAGCTGATCACTCACAACTATATATAGTTAGCAGTCCGCTGTCGGACGACATCCGATGATGGGGAAACACTGATACGCTCACACTCGCTGAGCCCCGGTGTGCGAGTATCCGTGCAGCGGCTCGGTGGCGCGCTCACTGACAGCTAGGTTCGGCTGACAGTTCTGTCAAGCACAGGCGACGAAGCGAAGCAGTCGCCACTAATACCTCTTTTGGACCTCGCCGCGCCGATGCGCGCGCCGCGGTGCGGCAGCGATGCGAGATGCGGCTATCGCATGCCTCGGCGTTCGGGCCGATCGCAGTTTCGCGATGCTTGCTCGCGTTGGCTGGCCTTCAATGGCGGCTACTTTATTCTCTTCTTTAGTTTAGGGAAGAATGTTATGATGCTGTGTCGTGTAAGAAGGAAAGGCTTGATCTAATCTCGTGCGTGCACCTATTGCGTGTTTTGTTACCCTTGCGTCCGCTATCAGCTATTAATTCAGCACTAAGCGATCGTCTATAAAACTACTAATAATATTATGTGTTTCCGTTATGTAGCAGGCAATGACATTGCTCACGCATGCGTGATGAGCCACTAATACGTCATTCCTACCCATGTTAGAGTAGTGAATCGCTGGTCAGCTGTCTGTGTTCGTGAGTGTCAAAGACGATCATTCTTCTACCACGTTAGTCGCGCATCGCTATACGGAGGCAACTCGCCTTTAACCACATAAAACACACAATGCCCCTGTATTTTAGTCAGCTGGTACGCTCGTACACACTTAGATACACGCGTCCCGCACACACCCGCAGGGACACGCACACGACACGGGCACTCACGAACGCGCAAACGCACGCGCAAATATACACAAATATGGAGGGGAATAAGATAAAAAAAACACATAAATTACATATTTTTATTCTTTTCCGGACTATACCCCATTATTGCCTAATTTACGTACATTTTACATAGATACTGGAATAATATCGATCTTCATCGTACTGTGCATAGGCGTTTAAATGTGAAAGAAATATTTTAATAAAATGCGGACAATCTCACGTCTTTTCACCTTGATAAAATGGCCGTAGGAATATTTAAAGCAATGACTCGCATTTTCTTTCTTAAACGTCAGATTTTTCACACACAAAAAGAGCGTGCGTAAATTACCTAATTAGGGACACGGATCTACGTCATGCACTGCGTTTTAAGTCTGACAACGGATTTCTGCTTAACGAGGTAATATTCACCTTGCCTCATGTGGGAAACTAGTAATGCGTGTGTGTTCGTGCGTGTTCGTGCGTGTACGTGAGCGATTAAAGCGCAATGAATTATTGCGGTAGCGGGAGCTATTCAACGACTTACTTCATTACGGATATGAGTTCTATTGAATTTTTTGACGATTTATTTTAGAGTGCGTATATATTTTTTATCGAATTAATTTTTCGGTTAGTTTACACGAACGTAGTTATAGACAGGCGGTGGCATTGAAGTACCATTAACATAAGCGCCGACCTGTCTCGCTTGTTGCTTTCCATATATTATTATTCTTGTTTGCTTAAAACATTGAACGCTTCCGTTTAGTTATTTCACGTGGAATTAAGCCGTAGACATTTAGCGTTAGCGGGGTCGGTCTCAATGGCGTGTGGCTATAGCTAGTTACTCGTAATGATATTCTGTATGGGCGGAATGTTGTACAGTTTTCGAAATATATAATAATTATTTTGATAAATAATTTATATGAATTATTTAATTATCCAGGGTTTCGTGCGTGCGTACGCGTGCGTTCCGACGCCAACATCGATCCGGTTGCGGTGTTTGGTGTGTGTCCGTGGGACGGTCACTGCTGTGGTCTGTGCTCGTTGTGATGCTGTGTTGTGTGCGTGTCGTGGTGTGCGCGGCCGTGGTTGTGTGCCGTGCGTCCCCGGTCGTTGGTGTGCGGTATAGTGCGTACATGTGTGTGTGTGGTGTGTTGCGTGCGCGTGTGCGCGCTGCCGGTGAGTGCTGTGCGCGCGGTGCGGCGGTGGGAGCATGTGTCGCGTATGTAGCGTAGGTGCTTTGCGCCGTGTGGTAGTACCCGCTCGGCGCGGCGCGTGTGGTTGCGGGTTCGTGCGAAGGTGTAGGGGCGGATATATGTTTCCATGCCATCCGCACAGGTTCGCGTGACGTCTTGTACGTCACGCACGAACTCCGGGCTCTATCTCCGAGCAGTAAAGTTGAATGCACTTACAGAGCCTTAGCCAGTTACAGCATACGCTCGCTTGATGGCGCTAGCGTCACCGCACATATCACCTGGATGCACAAAAAAAAAAACGCCCTTAACCCTAACCCTAACCCTAACCCTAACCCTAACCCTAACCCTAACTCTAACCCTAACCCTAACCCTAACCCT